GGCTGTCTCAAGGGGGCCTGCCCTGGGGTGTTCACCTTGTGGGTCACTAGGGGAGTTTACCCGTGCTCCTGGGAGAAGGTGGCTTGTTTGGCCTCCAGCAGTTGGATCACTTGGGCTCGCTCCTGCGGTCCCAGTCACTCCCCCAGCTGGACCAACTCTATGGCCCCCTGTAGCGGATGGCATTGGGCTGTCCACAAAATTATGTGTTTTAATATGCTTTCATTTAATTTTGCCGTATGTATGTATATTGTATGCAGCATTCGACTGATTGTTGGGTAAAATCACTCCATTTATTTTATGAGTGAAACTACCGAACAATCAGACCACCCCAGGAATAAGTGTGCCTCCAATTACCGTTCGCAACAATGTTGCAAACCCATAATTGGCAATCAGTGCAGTGTGTGCTTTGTCCTCTGGGTGGCCGCCGTTCAGGAGACGAACATGCGGCGGCGGCCATCTTAAACTCCCGAACAGTGGTGTTTTGCCGTTGAGTGTCTGGAACTAAAATCGGACACTCGACTAAGCAAACACCGCTGAGACCTCCAGAGCTCCGTAACTCCCTAACGGACGGGCCAACGAGCCCCTCGATCGGTAAAAAAAATGTCTCGAACAAGGGAATTAATACGAATACAGATTTAACTTTGGATGGCAAGTATTTCTATGCATTTTATCTCCCGAACAAAGACTGACTGCAAGGCCAAAACACATGGAGCCTTTTTCAGATACTACCTTGTGTGCGGTCGGTCAAATTGCCTCTTCCACCTAACTCCCGAACCCCTGGTCCGATCTGGGTGAATTTTAAATATGTTAGTCACCCAGATCAGGGCTACCAGGGGGTACCCATTATATAATTCTATCTGACTGTTTTGGGGTACATCCAGAAATTTGCAGTATGTATAAGTGGATTATGTGTCACACTGAGGGGAGAAGATGTGTGGGAGGTAACAGTTACACTATTGGATACTGTACTAATTAATGTGAATCCATCCCTTGCATGGGAGAAAGCGTTAAAAGAAGGTTGTGTGGATTAAAAGTTCAGTTCTGCTCCTTATGTTGTGTGTCGTCCAGTCATTATTGCCTTATGGATTTGTAATACTTGTTCCTGAGCCTCACTGGGATCTTGAGTGGAGATAACCTGTGAAATACCAGCTCTCCACTACACACCCTCTCTAGGGTTACCTCCTAACAGATCAGGTAAGGGTAGGTCCTCAGATGCCGGGGCACACATGGCAGCCACCTCTTCCTCTCGACCTTTAAACTCCTTGAGCATGTTGATGTGAATATGTCTTATTCTCGCAGCTGGCTACCGTATAAGTGGTGTCACACACCTTCCCAATAACCTTATACGGTCCCTGCAGTTCATCTTGCCGGACCGGTTTGAGTACCAGAACCTTTTGTCCAACCTGAAAACTACGGTGCCTGGCCTTCCGGTCATACCATACCTGCTGGTGGTGCTGGGCCGCCTGGTGGTTCTCTCACACCATCTAAACCAAGGCCTCCATTCTGTCCCTCAACTCCAGTACGTAGGGCACAATCGAGGTCCCTGTGGATTCTGTCGCTCCCTCCCAGTGTTCCCAGATAAGGTCTAGCTATAGGAGCTCAATAGGGCTAAATTCCAGTAGATTCCTGCGGCACTTCCCTATAAGCAAAGAGGAGGTGGGGCATAAATAGCTCCCAGTCTCTGCAAGCAGTCGTGAACGTCTTCAGCATTTGCTTAAGAGTCCCATTAAACTGCTCGACTCATTCCCCAAATCCTCAGGGGTATCCCAGGGTAGGGGCTCTACAGTCAAAGTCGGGGAAGTGGGGCTTACCTAGGTATCCGATTAATGTGGGTGACCATGGTCACAGCCTGTACCTCCTGGATAGTGGTGGGTATAAATTCTGAAGTCAGAGGCCCTGAGTCGTTGCCAAGCAATACTTCTGCAGGTAGGTATTTCATGACCCTAACATTTACAGTAGCAGCTCCCGCACCCCAATCCAAGTGGACCTGGGCAGTAGGAAGCCTATAAATCGCTCACCCGGCCACCCAAACTAGTACCAGCTTTCAGGGACGCTCGATATTTTTGAGCAGGTGTCTTTGTACCAAAGTGATGGTGGCCCCAGTGTCTCGCTGGCCCCGAGCAGTCTTGCCAGTTATTTGTACTGGCCGCCTGTATGGGGTCGGCCTCATGGAGGAACTCCAGGGGTTCTTCCTGACTCAGCTCCCTGGCTTCCCAGGTGATAGGGACAGGGTAGTTCACACAGTGTGCAGCCACACGGGTGTTGGGGATACCTGGACAGGTCCAGTTGGATCTGGGGGGTTCCAGGGAACAGTCATTGCGGTAGAGCCCCACTTGCGTGCATCTGTAGCAGCAGGGACCCGTCATCTGTGGTGGTCTATACCCCACTGGAGTGGGTCATGGAGGTGAGGCGATAGCTCCCCCCTATCGTTAGTGCTGGGGAATCGATTCAGGGAGGTTGCACTCTGTGGTGGGACCGCTCAAGCTTGCGAGCATCCGTATACTCGTCTGGCTGCATCGGGGAGGGAAAGCGGTCTACTGTCTCTCACCCAGTCTTTGATGTCAGGTTGGAGTAGGTTGAAGAACTGCTCCAGTAACATCAACTGCAGCAACTCTTCATAAGTGGTAGCCTGACTTGCTACACCAGAAGGTAGTCACTTCTCTGTAACAAATAAAATATTTAATATATAACATATAAAATATATTTGTCAGAGAGCAGTGACTAACTTCTGGTGTAGCAAGTATTGATTGATTACTCTGCTTATATATATATTATTATTATTATTTTTGTGTGTGTGTTTAAATAAATCAGTTTTAAAAGAATCCTGTGGCTTCCTGGTGATTGGGATCTTTAGCCTTTACAGGCACCCTGGAGCTTTTTACATAGAGCCTGGCACGGCTCTCTACTTGTGAGTTGAATAATACCATCTACTGTTTATATTGAATTTACAGAAAGCACTATGTCCAGTCTCCTTTTTGTTTTTACAGATCTTTATGGGAAATTTCTATTTTGATATTTTGCATATAAGTATTATTCGTATGTAGGCACAGTGAGATCTAATGATTGTTTGTCTTTTGTACAGCTGTGTAGTCTTTGCCTTAAAGTATTATTTTGATACTCTGACAAATTTGTCATATGAAAACCTGGCACCATAACAATACGCTGAAGTGATTGAAATGGTTAGAGTATTTCTTCAAAATGAGAAAAGCATCCTTGATCAATTACGTTAACAATGATATGTAGTAGCACATGATACAATCAGGGTTATTCACTGCAAATATTCAGGAATTGTCTTAAGAATTTAAAATTTTTGAGAAAAACAAATAAATTGGTAACATAGCTCAGTTGGCAAATTTGGTTTCAGTTTGGCTGTGTTTGCTTCAGTTTGTGATTTGTAAGATAATCCTGATGGTTTAACGTAGCATTGTGCGGCTGTGTGATAATCAGTTCGGTATCAGACTTTGGTGGGCATATAATCTTAACCCCCATAAGCAGGATAACACGAACATGTCACGAGTACTAATGCTCCGTTCTGTATTTACCATGCAGCATACAACCGTTCCCTGTGTCTGGACTTGTTGCTTGGCAACAAAGAAGAATATTCCATGGTAGAGCATTTCTTTGCAAGATCTATTGTTGGTGAAACATTGATTAGGAAAGATAACCTGACTCCTTCGGTACTTTACGACAATTTCACTGGCAGATGGCCAGTGACAATTTTTAAGGGTTATGACAAATTTTAGACCAAGATATCAAAGCTTAAAACCAGAAAGCTTAGAGAGAAAATTTTGAATCTGACTAATTCATGATCCTTCGCAATTCTCCATATGGTGATCACTATTTGTTGAACTTTGTCTTCGATCACAATCTTTTGTTTGATAATGATCAACATTTAAACGGATAGACTTGTGCATAAATTAAATTCCTTTCAATCTATGCCCCAATGAATTGATTCATCATGAAAATCCCAGACATTCGTGTAGATAAACAGGAATTTTATTCGTTCGTCGAAGGTGAAAATAATTTGTGCTCAAGTCAATTAATGAATGATGATGATTGACACAACTACGATCCATTGCTTTCTGACAGAACTTTCAACAGTTTCCCTTGAACAGAAGTTCTACACAATGTGTTAAGCAGTCAAGCTAAATCAATCACTATTACTCAGGATATGTTTTATCGAAACATTAACTTAGGCAATATGTATTGTGTTGGCATTCAATTACAGAATGGTGCAAATATTAGAGGTATTCCCCATATGGACCTCAATATATATATATATATATAAATAATCCGTTAATACCGCACTCAAATATTTCAAGAATCACTGTATAAATCTGCAAAAATTAATGTATTATACACTAAGTACACCAAATTTACAAAATAGAAAAAAATATACAGACTAATATACAGACTGATGATCTCTCTGAATTCATATATCATAATATGTACACCTTAATTATTTACAACTATATACAGTCCGTGAGCATTGCATCAATCAAGCTGGAAGTTCATGCATGCTCTGGTGGATCCACCACTAATTTAAAGTGAAAATTTGTAGATTTTTTTACACAGTTGTATAATAGGAGGGGGGTGGGGGGAGGGGTGGGGGTGGTGTCGTATTCTCTAACTTAAATACTCACCACTACTATATTCTGCAGCTGCGCAATCATTTTTATTCTGTTACAGCATCTGCTAGTGGCCAGTCAGTCTCAACCTACAAGTGAAGGCTGGAGAAATAGAAATCTTAAACCATGCATTTAAAATATGAACAGTACACGAATATAATACACAGCAAAGTATAGAGATTGTTCAAAGAGTATGCTGGATGTTACAATAGAGGTGAAGGGTGGAATATGTCAATTATTTTGCATAAATGCTTTGATGATACAAATGCCCCAGTTCAATTGTTGTTGAAAAAAATAATAATTAGTTATATGTCTACTAATAAGGGCTGATAATAAATAAAATAAAAATTTAATAAAAAAATGCAGGAAAGAATTTTGCACTTAACATGTTTAATATATGATCCAGTAATTGCAATTGGCTTGTGGCCATTGTTGAGTTTGGCTGCTTTATTACTTAACAGTTTTTTAAGAACTAACATTGTGCGGCAGAGAACTAACAGTGTGCTAGAATGCGTCACTATTTGTCAGAATGGATCTCACAGTGTGTAACACTGTAACTGTAACAGTGTGCTAGAATGCGTCACTATTTGTCAGTATGGATCTAACAGTGTGTAACACTGTAACTGTAACAGTGTGCTAGAATGCATCACTATTTGTCAGTATGGATCTAACAGTGTGTAACACTGTAACTGTAACAGTGTGCTAGAATTCGTCACTATTTGTCAGAATAGATTTAACAGTGTGCTAGAATGAAACCTATCAATGTGCCAGAAGGTAACTGTAACAGTGTGCTAGAATGGAACTTATCAATATGCCAGAAGGTAACTGAAATAGTGTGCTTGAATGCGTCACTATTTGTCAGTTTGGATCTAACAGTGTGTAACACTGTAACTGTAACAGTGTGCTAGAATTCATCACTATTTGTCAGAATAGATTTAACAGTGTGCTAGAATGGAGCCTATCACTGTGCCAGAAGGTAACTGTAACAATGTGCTAGAATGAAACCTATCAATGTGCCAGAAGGTAACTGTAACAGTGTGCTAGAATGGAACTTATCAATGTGCCAGAAGGTAACTGTAACAATGTGCTAGAATGGAGCCTATTAATGTGACAGAGGGTAACTGTAACAGTGTACTAGAATGGAGCCTATCACTGTGCCAGAAGGTAACTGTAACAGTGTGCTAGAATGGAACTTATCAATGTGCCAGAAGGTAACTGTAACAATGTGCTAGAATGGAGCCTATCAATGTGACAGAGGGTAACTGTAACAATGTGCTGGAATGGAACTTAGCAATGTGCCAGAAGGTAACTGTAACAATGTGCTAGAATGGAGCCTATCAATGTGACAGAAGGTAACTGTAACAATGTGCTAGAATGGAACTTAGCAATGTGCCAGAAGGTAATTGTAACAGTGTGCTAGAATGGATCGTATCAATGTGCCAGAAGGTAATTGTAACAGTGTGCTCGAATGGAACTCATCAATGTGCCAGAAGGTAACTGTAACAATGTGCTAGAATGGAACTTATCAATGTGCCAGAAGGTAATTGTAACAGTGTGCTAGAATGGAACTTATCAATGTGCCAGAAGGTAATTGTAACAGTGTGCTAGAATGGAACTTATCAATATGCCAGAAGGTAATTGTAACAGTGTGCTAGAATGGAACTTATCAATATGCCAGAAGGTAACTGAAATAGTGTGCTTGAATGCATCACTATTTGTCAGTATGGATCTAACAGTGTGTAACACTGTAACTGTAACAGTGTGCTAGAATTCGTCACTATTTGTCAGAATAGATTTAACAGTGTGCTAGAATGAAACCTATCAATGTGCCAGAAGGTAACTGTAACAATGTGCTAGAATGAAACCTATCAATGTGCCAGAAGGTAACTGTAACAATGTGCTAGAATGGAACCTATCAATGTGCCAGAAGGTAACTGTAACAGTGTACTAGAATGGAACTTATCAATGTGCCAGAAGGTAACTGTAACAATGTGCTAGAATGGAACTTATCAATGTGCCAGAAGGTAACTGTAACAATGTGCTAGAATGGAGCCTATTAATGTGACAGAGGGTAACTGTAACAGTGTACTAGAATGGAGCCTATCACTGTGCCAGAAGGTAACTGTAACAATGTGCTAGAATGGAACTTATCAATGTGCCAGAAGGTAACTGTAACAATGTGCTAGAATGGAACTTAGCAATGTGCCAGAAGGTAACTGTAACAATGTGCTGGAATGGAACTTATCAATGTGCCAGAAGGTAACTGTAACAATGTGCTAGAATGGAACTTATTAATGTGCCAGCAGGTAACTGTAACAATGTGCTAGAATGGAGCCTATCAATGTGACAGAGGGTAACTGTAACAATGTGCTAGAATGGAACTTAGCAATGTGCCAGAAGGTAATTGTAACAGTGTACTAGAATGGATCTTATCAATGTGCCAGAAGGTAATTGTAACAGTGTGCTCGAATGGAACTCATCAATGTGCCAGAAGGTAACTGTAACAATGTGCTAGAATGGAACTTATCAATGTGCCAGAAGGTAATTGTAACAGTGTGCTAGAATGGAACTTATCAATGTGCCAGAAGGTAATTGTAACAGT